ACACACACACACACACACACACACACACACACACACACACACACCACAATACACAACAAAGTAGGCTACAAGCAGGCAAGATTAACCCCCTAGAGATCTCTCCTTAAAGAAGAAAAGGAGAGAAAGAAACCAATACCCATGAGCACTAAGCAGAGGAATATACATCTCCTTTTAAGAGATAAAAGGAAGCTTCAGGGAGAAGGTGACTTTAAAGAAAACGAGGAAAGTATCAGGCAAAGATTGGAGGCAAGGAGTAAGCTGAGCACCTTGCAGAAGAATTCTGAAGTAGGCAGTGGAATGCCCAGGAGCTGTGTGTAGATGAAGCATACCCAGGACTGGGAACAGGCAGAGAAATGAGGCTGAGAGTGTAGGGTCTAATTCAGTGGAGAAAGAAGAGGAAGCTGTTACTTTGAGTCTCTACCAGCATTTCCAGTTAGAGACACTGACATTCTAGTCGCTGCTCTAGATGCTGGAGATGCAGTGGGAAGCCAACAAAAATGCATATCTTGGGGTACTGATATGAAGGGTGCTAAGTACTAAAAAGGAAAATCAAACAGGATAGTGTGACAGCACACCATGGAGGAAATAGGGATTCTTCTCATTGTTGATCTATAAAGGATCCTGTAGAGTCCTTAAGACAGAAGAACCAATCTTGATAAGATCTAGAAGAGGGAGAGCAAGCATGAGGCTACAGAGGCAAAAAGAAACTTGATGTGTGCGTGTGAGGAATCAAAAGGAGACTGGAATCCTGGAATGGAGAGAAGTAGGTTGTAAGAAAGAGTCAGCAGGGTCAGAGACTCTAGCAGGACCATATCTTTTAGGAAGATGGAACTGGAGGCATGAGTTTAAATTTCATCATAAGAATATTGGAAACCTACTACTGGGAGAGTTTAAGTAAAGTGACAGGATATAGTTTTCTTGCGGATAATGGACTGAAAAGGACAGGGTCAGAAGTCAGAACACCTCTTTAGATGTGACTGTTCAGCAGAGACCTGGTGGTAGCCTTGGTCAGGACAAAAGGAGTAGAAGTTGGAGAGGTCCTGGGAAAAAGACTTTTCCAAGAGCCATGTGAGGCCCTGAGGGTGTCACCTAATTGTTGAAGCAGGGCCTGGTATGGTGTGTGTGTGTGTGTGTGTGTGTGTGTGTGTGTGTGTGTGTGTGTGTGTGTGTGTGTAATAGGGAGGATGTGACAAAGAACCCACCTCATTTTCTTGATGTCGGTGTGCCCTCTGGTGGCTGGGTTCCTTATCTGTGCCCTGAGGACTTCCTTGTTCCTGGACTAAACAATGGAGGAGAACCCTCTACCTTGGTCTCCCTCCAATGAGGGATGTGACAAGTGGTCTATATTTTGGTCTCAGGCTAAGGAACAGATAGATTAATGCTGGTGAGGCTGCAGCTCGCCTTGGGCCAGGATGGGGGTGGCAGTCTGCAAGAGTCAGGGGCCAACAAGGGTCAGACAGAAAGAGGAGAAGTAGTGGGAGGTAGTGGGGGCTTTTGTTTTCTGTAGAAAGTCACCAATAAAAAAGAAATTTAATGGCCATGTAAATGTGGTAAATTATCTTTGGTGGATATTTTCAGAGCAAAACAAAACCATTCCAATTTAAACATTTGTAAATTAAGAGCAGAGAACATCAGGTTGCACTGAGTAAACACAGCACATAATGGAAAATATACTTCAGTTCTTACACTTCAGCCAGTTACAGGAGAGAGGCGGGGGTGGCAGCCAACAACAGGCAGCAGAGAGTCACGATCTTGCTGAGAGAATAGAGGAGAGGGGGTGGATAGGGCTTGGTCAGAAATAGACACTGTCTGACCAGGCTGACGTCCAAAGGCTCACCGGATGTCTGCATTGTGTTCAAACAGACACACAAACACAAATATCAAATCTCTGTGTGTGTGTCTCTGTCTCTGTCTCTGTCTCTGTCTCTCTCTCTCTCTCTCTCTCTCTCTCTCTCTCTCTCTCTCTCTCTCTCTCTCTCTCTCACACACACACACACACACAAGACTAAGAGAACATATACATATGATGAACAGCAAGAAGTTGTGGAAGATGAAATGCAAGGATGTCTGGGAAAAGGGAAGTTGAGCCCTAACGTCTGTGTCTTAAACCCAGTGAAGCAGAGGGGTACCCTGCTTCGCAAGCAGCTGTGAGACTTGATTGAAGGTGAAGCAGATTCCATAGAGAAACTATCTCTTTCTCGCTAATAGGAAGGCAAGCATTTTCAATACAGCCATCCACCTGTTTCTGGCACCAGTGCTCTTCTAAGCTTACAAGAATAACATCTGTAGGTTCCAGCGCTAGGTAAAAAATGAACTTAGTGCAACCTTAGCAACAAGCATCATGGCAAGCAGCTGTTTAGGGCTCCAGGGGCTCCTCCTTGTGTTGACTGGGTCTCTCTTAAGCTGAAGGGCTCAGAGTCTTTTTTCCACCATAATACCAAACTAGAGAAGTCAAGTACACACAAAATAGTGACCTATCACCAGTGCTGCCTCCCTAATGCCACCACCATGTGCCCTGGACCTGGGTCTGGGTGATGCTCCAGATCCCTCCAGGTGAGACTTCCTCTAGCTAAGGCTTCCTACTGTAAGCCAAGGAATGAGCCAAGAAACTGCATTAAATTTAAAAGAAGCACAGTTAAAAGAATTAAAATTCATACATTGAAAGGCACAGTCAAGAGAGTGAAAAGGCAACTTGAGGGACAGGAAATATATTTGCAAATGTGGTCAAGAGTTAATATCTATAATATATAAATGGCACTTACAATTTGATGATTCAAAAGCGGCCAAAGAATTTAACAGGATATTTTTCCAAAAAAGATATCCAAATGGCCAACAAACATGAAAAAATTTCACAGATTCATAACTCATAAGAGAAAGGCAAGTCAAAACCAAAATAAAGAACTGTCTCATGCCTAGTAGAAGGGCTCATCTCCAAAAACTGAAAATAAACTTTGGTGAGGATATGGAAAAACTGGAAAATTGAACAAGTGTGGTAGTTCCTAAGAATAAAAGAAACCATAGGATCCAACAATTTCACATCAAGATATGTGTGTCTTCAAAAAGAACTAAAAACAGGATCTCAGAGATATTTTCATATCCATAGTCACAGCAGTATTTCTTTTTTTTTTGTTTTTGTTTTTGTTTTTGGTTTTTTGAGACAGGGTTTCTCTGTGTAGCTTTGCGCCTTTCCTGGAACTCGCTTTGGAGACCAGGCTGGCCTCGAACTCACAGAGATCCGCCTGGCTCTGCCTCCCGAGTGCTGGGATTAAAGGCGTGCGCCACCACCGCCCGGCCACAGCAGTATTTCAATAGCCAAATCATAGGCAGAAACTGAATATTCATCAGTAGCTGGATGAATAAGTAAAATGTGTCATATCTATACAGTGGAATATTATTTGGTCTTTGAAAATGAAAGGAAATGTGACATGTGATGTAACATGGATGTATTTTAATGATACTGTGTGAAGTATGCTGACACAGAACAAATACTACAGGATCCCATTTATATGAGGTTCCTATAGCAGACAACTTTGTAGAAAATTGAATGTGTGTAATCATGAACTGGGTTAGGTGGAATAGGGAGTTGTTTAATGGATAATGAGTTTCTCAATAAGAAAAAGGGTTGGTGACTGATTTTACACAATGGTTAAGATGGTAAATTTTATCTACCTTTCCTCATGGTGAGTGAATGAGTGAATAAATGAGGGAGAGAATGAGGTGATAGCATGTCTGAACATGAAGCTGAGGTCTGTATGTAGACAGTACCCAGTAGCTAGCACTTACTCCTGTAACTCCTGATCATCTGGCAATACCCAAGTCAGATATCTTTTCCTCCAGAGTCAGTATGTGGCTGCTTGCAGGTGGAAACATAGGACTTTCAGTCACTTGTGTTCCTTCTTTTCTACATTCATTCACTTGCACATTCTCTTACTCTCTAGGTGGATAAACATTGAATTCCTCCTCTGTGGAAGACATGTCACCAAGACTGCAGCCAAACAGTAAGAGAGATTGCCTTGACCTTTCCTTCAAGGAGTCTACAGTCTGGAAGGAGAGCCAGATCTGTCAAAACTGACCTAGGAAAGAGGTTGCTCTGAGAAGTGTGGAAGCCTAGAGAAGGTGAGACTGCTTAAATGGGGAGAGGGTGTAGGCAAGAGGATCTTCTGGTTCCAGGCATGAGTCCTAAAAGACCAGTAAGGCTCAAGTGGGCAGAAGAAGATGCTCAAATATATGCCAGGAGGAAAACTCTTGGGAGAGGGGAAGAGAAATATGAGGAAAGAAAGTAGAGATGAGCAATAACCACAAGTAGCAGAAAGAAATTTATTAACTTCTAAGCGCCACTAATTCATAGTATCTCACCCAGTACTATAGTCTTCACAAACTCTTCAGAACTTGTGTGCATAAAGGGGTAGTTCCTGAAGCTGCCAGCCACCTCTTTCTTACAGTGACATTGTCTGACAAAGAGGTATGACCCTGAGCAAGCACACTCAAACCCACCCTATCACTCCCCTCACAGCCCTTGCATGCCTTGGGTAACAACGTACAGGGGCCCATTTCTGCAGCCACTTCTTAAATACATACACATGCATGAAAATGGGCAGTTCAGAGCACATGTATGGGGAAGTGTGCAGTAGGGAGAGACTAGATTTAAAGAAGCCAAAAGCAGGAGTCAGGCATTAAGGTGCACACTGTTCTTCAGAGAAGAACACTTTCCAGACTTCTGGTCCCAGGAAACACCCCTGAAGGGCAATTCAGTTGTTCCCTGGTTCCTTTTCAGACTTGGGCAGTACACTCTTGGAAATTTAACCCACATAATCTACACTGTCCACAAGCATGGCTGTTAGCTGGACTTGGAGGGGGACCCCAGACATTGTAGTCAAAACCTTAAGCCTTTGCAAGGCTTTGGGAAGAGTTCAGAGGGACATGAAATGCATGTAAATGTGGAGTTCTATACAGTACTTCTAACTCCTGGGGTCAAAGCGAGGCTAGATAGGCACCTATGACTATTCATCAGCAGCTGGCTCAGGGGTGTTTATCCCATCTGATAGGTAATCATCCTCATGGTTCTGTTTCATTTTGGTCTCCAGCACTGTGATGCGTTGCTTGAGCTTCTGCTGGGCCCCGGTGTACTCAGCCAGCAAGCGGGCAAAGCGAGTGTACAATGTCTCCATGTTTGTCTCTAGCTGTTCCAGCTTCTCCTGAACATCTACCTCCATGCTGGCTGCCACCTCGTTCTCATCCAACAGACCTTCCTTCATAAGAATCTCCCGACCCCGCTCCTCTAGGACTTTCTTGGCATCAGGGTACTCAGTCACAGCTTCCATAAGATCATCCTTAGATAAGCAGAAGAGATCTGAGTAGCCCAGGCTACGGATATTGGCAGTACGCCGATTGCCCATTTTGCTGCCCTTAATGTTAAGGATGCTAATCTCTCCAAAGCAGCTTCCAGCTGAGAGCAAGGCATACTGAGTCACACCATCATCAGCTACTACTGCCAACTTGCCCTCCTTGATGATGTACATTTCCTTGCCAATGTCCCCCTTACGGCAAATATAATCCCCAGGGCTAAAGACCTGAGGACGAAGCTTCAGTACCAGCTCCACCAGCAGGCCAGCCTCACAATCCTGAAATATGCGTACTTTCTTCAGGGTGGACAAGTGGACATTAATGGCTATCTCAGCCCTGAGCTTTGCTGGCAGGTTCTTGAGGACTTCTCGTTCATCTACTGTCTTCTTATTGGTCCACAAGTAGTCAAACCATTTAATGACCTTGGCTTCCATCTCTTTGCTGACCTTTCGGAACTGCATGTAGTGTTTGACAGCATCAATCTTGGCCTGAAACTCTGCTCGTGTGGCATTCATGTTAGAGATCATGGAGCCCACATTTCCCACAATAGTGGCAAAGATGAGGACACCAATCAGAAAGTCAAAGATGACAAAGAGGTACTCCTCATCCTTTACAGGGGGTGGTGTCTCTCCAATGGTGGTGAGGGTCAATGTGGACCAGTAAAGGCAGTAAATGTACTCCCTAGCCAGGTAGCCATACTCAGGGTCAGTAATATTGGGATAAACCCAGGTGTCAACCCCAAAGCCGATGGATTTAGAGATGGCATAGTAAATGCAAGCATTCCAATGGATGATGACCAAAATGTAGAGGACCAGATTGCTGATTCGGAAGATGTTGGGGTAGCTGGTGCGTGTCTCAGTGCGGTCAAAGAACTCAAACATACGGGCAAAGTGTAACAGACGGTTGAAGCGCACCTCGGGGCTGTGGATACCCACAGCAAAATAGATGAGGTCAGTGGGGATGATGGAAGCCACATCCAGTTTGAACTGCAAGGTGTGGATATAGTTGTCTCGCAATTTCTTGGGGTCTTTGACCAGGAGTCCCTGTTCTAGGAAGCCTGATAGAGATACAAAGCAGCATGTCACTTCTGTCCTCAGTCCAGTCTCACCCTAGAAGATAATTCTCAACAAGGAACTAACCTTCCTTCCCACAGAGAACTATAGACAACATAGCGAGAATGCCAGATCTAAACCTCCATAAATATGTGGGGCCATAACATTTAAAGAGTATCCTAGCAGAGGTCCACCCAGGTGGTGGACTTCAATACCATGTCCAGTTAGTTTCTTCAGATTTTGGATTCAATTCTTTGAACTTAGGAGTCCAAATGCTGCTTGTGCAACCCAGGTGCTCACTCACCTGTGCGCAGTCGAATGAAGAGGTCTGCAATGTAGATAGTATCTGAGAAGTAGTCCAGCACCAGCCATACCACAAAATAGTTTCTCTGTAGATCACTGAAGCAGGCTCTGTAAGAGAACAGGGCTGGCTTCACTAACAAAACCTGGTAAAATGCCCTACTGGCCCTAAACTGTATACCTAACTTTTGCAGGGAGAGCTTCACATGGCCACCAGGGACACCAGTGAGTCACAGTCAGCTTGATAACAATGACTAGTGACTTCTACCTCAACCCTTATTACTAAACAGGCATCACTGCATGTGTATCATCATTGACCATCAATAGTCTTCCTCATCCCCTAGACTATGAGCTCCAGAAAGAGAACACATCTTAGTTGTGACTATATGTCACATCCAGAGCCCCAGACTGCAAGTCATCAGTGGTTTAAGCTGAATAAATAAATAAGGCATTAGAAGAACAGCTGACTGGCTTCTGTATTAATTACTTCAATAGATTCCTACTGAACACATTATCAAACCCTGGAAGGATGAGAATATAGATAGTAGTGGGGTTTAAGCTAGACATGGTTGAGACTAGAGAAATGTTAGTGGCTACAGGAGCTTTGTACGAAGAAATTGGCAAGATTTGGACACTGAATGGGTAGAACCTATGGAAGGCCCCAGGGAGGGGACAGAGGAAGGGAAAGATCTGATTATGTACTAGTCCAAGGGCAGAATGGTCACATTTAGAACCAAACTCCCACACAATGTACAAAACAGACTGGACCACAGCCTTCAGCCATACTGGGCCATCAAGAGATAGGGGCCTTGCTCATGTTATTCCTTCTGTCCAGAATGTCCTCTCTGCCAGCCTCACATATTTGAACAGATTGCTACCTCCCATCAAGATCTCAGTTAAGGTCTCTGACAGGCCTCTTATGATTCTCCAGCAACTTGCTACCTCCAGTCCCTGGTACTATCTTGCTCATTTCTTTTGTTGCATGTTTACATTCAGTCTAGCTGAGAACCCTGAAAAAAAAAGCAGTGATTGTGTCTGTCCTGATTTCTACTGTACACCAACACAGAGCACAAAACTCAATTAATATGCAGGTAATTCTTCCTGAGTGAATGACTGACACAGAGTAGTGTTATGTGGACTGCTGTCAGGAAAAAAACAAGTTCAGTGGACCTTGAAGGTCAGCCTTGGAGTTTTATCATGAGAACAAAGGGGATCCATTAAATGGTTTTGGAAGAGAGAGCAGCATAATCAAATCCAAGTTTCTACATGGAATATTAGTTGCAAGTGTGGCAGATGTACTGGAGGGGTCAAGTGTACCTCCAAGGCATAGAAGCAGGACTACTGTAGTTTTCTCAGATAGAGAAGGGAGGAGGATGGCCTTACCAAGGACAGTACTGACATGCATGACAAAGCAGCTGAAGATTACAGGAAAGGAACAGGAAAAGGACCAACATGAAGACTTGATGGCATATTGAATAGTGGGAGCATTGAGTAACAGAGTAGCTGAAAAAGAATTCAGCAATCACAAAATTCAGAAAGCGCATTGGACTGTTGAATACTCTTTGTCCTGAGCTGAGATTGCTGTGATCTTAATCCCATTTCTTGTGGACTATGCTTCTGTGATCAATCCCACCCAGGCTCCTCCATGCTCACCTGGCCACCAACAGGCACCAGTTGTAAAGAACAGGCATGGCAATGACAAACAACCAGTGGTAATACCAGTCTCCAGCTGGGTCCAAGACAAACAGTTCAAATTTCTTCCTGAAGAGACAAATAGGGGTCACTAGGGTGCTAGGACTCCAGGTTTCAGAACCCCAAATTCTCAAAAATATCAATGAAATAAAAGTATTGTGGGTTGAAGGGTAGGTTGTCTTACAGTTTCCTTTTGCAGTGACCCACAACCAAATAGCAGGCCTCCATTCTGACCATTGAAATGTTTATTGCCTCCCCTGCCCTCTAAAAGGGCCTGGCCAAGAAGATGTATCAAGGACAGAACTTGTAACACAGATAGGCTTTGAGGGGGTCTGAGGAGGGTGTATCTCAGGATGGAAAAGAGCTTTAAGCCTGTTCCCACAGTCCATTTGGAAAAAGAGAGAAACTCCAGGCCAGTGATCTATATGTGCTTCCTTCCCATCCTCCCTTTCCATTCTCTAGACTCCAGCCTCCAAATCACTTCCCCAGATGCTTCATCCTAACTTGGCAGAGCTTTTTCCCTCTACTGACCAGAGATGGGGGATGTCAACTTGGCCAGACATCCATTGTCATCTATTTATTCTTCAAATATCAGACCCTCCAATTATCCTTTGTTTTACCTCCCCTCTCCCTCCTCCCTCTTCTGCTCAATCATCTCGGTCTCATGCTCCTGACTCCCATATAAGCCCCTTCAAAAACCTGCTTTCTTGGCCATGGTGGAGTTAGAATGGGCATGGCTTCAATAGTACTCTGTGAAATACAGTCTCCCTGCCTGATTATCACATACTGACTACTGGAGCTAGGCCTGGGGTGGTATGCCCTTGGTTGAGCTCTTCTCCTGCTGAAATTCACTCCATGGACAGTAAAAGAATGTCTAACAAGGGTACTACTATGGTGTGAAAAACATACTCCAGTTTCCCATGGAAAGGAGATCACTGTTATTTGAGAGGCCCTTGGTAAAGACAATGGAAATGTTCAGAGTAAAAAGAAATGTAGGAGGTCATCTCTGCCCAGTTCTTTATCTGCTATCATAGAGCTTGGCATGGCTCTGCACCTCCCCTGATAATGGTTAGAATTCCCACTGAGATCTCCCAGGCAAGTGTGGAAGCTTTTGGAGCCCACAAAAACTGGATAGATGTACTTGGCGCCCTTTCCTTCGCCGTCCTTGTCGCCTTTGCCATCCCCCTGATGTGTTGTCACAGTCTGAAGCTCAGGACCACGGAAACGCTCTAGGAAGGAATCAGGCCTTGGTTCCTCCTCACGGAAATTCTTGTTGGCCCAGTCTCTGATGATCCCCACCAGGCGGACAATCCTAGAGGGGAAAAAGAAGGAGTGTGTGCCAAAGAAATGACCTGTACTGTTTAGACAAGACCTGTCTAAGAGTGTTCACTGCCAGTTGAGGGAGAGGAGAGAAGAGGAAAAGCCGGAAATAGACCAGGCCATGATTTCCTGTATGCTAAGATCTGGAAAGAGGCCAGCATTGTGGACAAGTGTTAGGGCTCAGGCATTATCTGAAGTATATCCTGTGAGGGAGGATGCCCTCCAAAGATTTCCTGTGTAATGTGACTTTTCAGTTCACTGTGAAACACAAACAGGAGATCTTCAAGGCAAGACTAAGATTATAAAGACTCAGGACAAGCCAGTATGAAGACAGTCCCAGCCTTCTTGATTTCTCTATGAGGCCTATGATCTTGAGAACCTATATATAGGTTCTTCTGCTGTAAAGAATTTCCTCTTCCGAGTGCTGAGGCAGCCAAACATGGAGGGAAGCCTCTCCTGTCTACTCCCATCTTGCCTCACAAGAGCCTCTAGCACAGTGAATAACACCTTGGCCCTGTGATTTCTAAAGGCTCTCAAGGTGATTATAAGTCACTGGTTCTCAACCTTCCTAATGCTGAGACCCTTTAATATAGTTATAAAATTATTTTTGTTGCTACTTCATAACTAATTGTAATGTAAATATCTGTGTTTTCCAATGGTCTTAGGTGACCCCTGTGAAAGGGTCATTCAACCCCCAAAGGGGTGGCAACCCACATATTAAAAACCACTGCTTGAGAGTCTTATAAAAAAAGCCTAGTGCAGCTAGAAGAGGGCCATTTGACAGGTCCTAAGAGAAGAAGGGGTAGCAGCAGGTCAGTTGAAGTGGAGAACTCACCTTCGGAAGCCACCCCTCCCCCTCCGTGGGGTATCCATCTCTGCCAGTCTTTGCAGTTCTGAGGAAGTGTCATCATCAGCCGCCTCAGACTGTGGTCTGCATACAAAAGAACAGAGTTGACTCAGGTTCTCTTAGTATGAGCTGTTTTTCCTCTTAGGACATGTCTAAACATCTCACAGTCCCTTTTGAAGATGTCCTAGAGCCAAATGTAGCTTGCTCTATGACTGTAAGTCAGAGCTCCAAGGAGATAGTGCAGACTCTGGGTTATTAATGAAATCACCCAGTCTGAGCTGAGAGTGAAGCTCAGAGGGTAGAGTGCCTTCCTGGTATGTATACGACCCTGAGGGTTTATCCTAAGTTTGGCAAAAGAAAGAAAGAGGGTGGGGTAGTAAGTGGGAAGGAGGAAAGAAAGAAGAAGATAAGGAAAACAAAAGTCATCTAACTTTAGTGGACTCACCTGCTACCTGTCCTGTGGTCATCTTTGCCGTTGGCCTTGATGGTAGGAGGAGGGTGATGGTTATGATTATTAGCTGGAGAGCTCTTCACACCATTGGATTTTTCGGTCATTCTCCATGTACATCTAGGGCTCTCACCTGACAAGGCAATAATAACCAGTGGACTCTAGTACCCACTGAGAGAAGGGGAGCTAGTGGTGAACAGAGTGAGAATACAACCAGGCCCACTGACTTAAGTAGTTCATGTGTCAAAAAAAAAATCACTAGGGTAAAGGTAAGAAAACTACATTGTGTAGTTTAGCACTATTTAGATTTTAAATAACACACCAGAGTGAGGGAGTATAATCGTTTCCTTGGCCCTTAGAGCCTGACACTGAAGCTAACGCTGAGTCCTATGGCTTCGTAATGCTATAGAAGTCATTATTCATCATTATTTGGGGATTATGAGGTTTGTTCAAACATGGAAGAGATGAACAGAAGACATATTCACAAAATAGACTGAGAAAAAGAAGATGAGGAAAGAACAAGCCAGAAGTGAGAAAGAAAGTTGTGTACTACAGTGTCTCTCACCACAAGAAGAATGGGGGTCAGAAATCCTCAAAACAGTTTTTCTGTTCTAAGGACGATCTGTATGCACCACTAGATGTGGATAAAAAGGGTCAGCATGCCCGCAGATTTCTCATGGCTTCTGTTGCTGGGCTCACAGCCACCTCTGACTCCATAACACTGCTGTGAATTCTCAGACCCTAGAGAGTTGTGTAATTCAAGACTCCTGTGATGCAAACTGGGAGTGGGCAGGGGGAGCTGTCCTTCATACTTGCATGTCTTAGCACTGGGGGAAATGGAATATCCTTCACAGCAGAGGAGCCTACATATAGGATCTCAAAATTGTCATCACAGAGTCAAAGTTCCATTTGGAAATCAGGAAGTATGCAGTAACCTTTGTACTGGCCTCGCCTGATTGAACACAACCTCCATCTTGCTCTGATGATCTTCCTGTTGTTACACAGGAAATCTTGTGAGGACATCCACCCCCACAGGATGCACTCTAGGTCATGTCTGAGCCCCAGCACTTGCCCTCAATGCTGACCTTTTTCCAGCTTCTTTCACTTCTTCTAGCATCTAAAGCTGTCACCATGGTGACAGCAGTCACATCAAGCAGCCTCAGAGATGCTCTCCTAGTGCTCTCTGTGGGACTATGGCACCAGGATGCTAATGAGGACACATGAGGGAAAGGAACCAGCATCCACAAGTACTTGCTTGGACCCTGGAGGCAGTAGACCATGGAGACAGAAAGTTCCACGCAATACAAACAAATCCAAGGCTACTCACATTGATGAGTTTCAAGGCTAGTGGTGTTAAGTGCAAGCTTGCAGATCAGGAGAGACCATAACACATGTGTTCCCTCTCTATGCTTCTGACATTAAAAAGGTTTCCTTCCCCATGACCCCTGCATCTTATCTACCAGGAACAGGCCCTTCTATTTTTCTGATTCCCTTGTGACATCACCCAGCCACACATGCCCTTTCATCAGAACTGTCCACTTAGGGGAACAAGGACAGGCAGTTAACTATTGCTTCAGTTCACCCAGTCAGCCAAGTGGTTCTCACTGGCACACTCTACAAACAACTCATCTACTCCCAAGGCATTTGTTACCAACAGGTCTCTAATCAGCCTCCACACTCATATCTCCAGTTGCCTCCTAACCAATTCTTTTGAGGCACCATTGACCCTCAAAACCCACATAACCAAAACCACATTTAGCACATTCACCTATAAATTAGCCACTTTTTCAGTTTGCCAGTCTCCTAACAGAGATTTCTTTCTGCCAAGTCGCTCAAGTCAGAAACCTGGATTTCACCATAATTGTTTGCTTCGTTGATCACATCCAATCAGCATCATTCAAGAGTTAATGCCCCCTTCTTCAAATTATCAAGCATCTATCTTTCAATCCCCCTCTACCAGTACTGCAGTCTCTACTGTGTCTCCCAAAGCCTGTTACAACAGGCTCTTTCAGGTTGGCACCAGCTGGAGTCTGGTCTGGACACTGTCAAAGTTTAACTGACAAGAAATTTAATCTCTCATGGGGACAAAGGCACTCTAATATCATGAATGGACAAGGATGGAGGATAAAAACAGAGTTCAGAAAAGCTTCAGCTGTACAAATAGTCCAAGTAGCTGACCAAAGGAAAGACAAGGATGAGGACAGGTAGACAGCTTGAAAAAGCATAAGAAGAGAGTTCCCAGGGAAAACAGCTGCCTCAAGGCCAATGCCAAGTCTTAACAGAGAATCTGTGCTTCTACCCCGTGAGATGAGAGGTGGAATAGTAGCTGGGGAGAACAATAAGGTCTTTTGTGGGATAGTAATAAAAACCACATAAATGAATTATGTTTCAGGAGGTGAGGAGGAGTAGGAGTTGAGGAACAAGAAATAGAGCTGTAACTAACTGCAATCTTGGCTAGGAAAGAGAAGAAATACAGTGGGAAGAGAAGGAAGATGAAGGGTTGAAAAAGATCCTCTTTCTGTAACTATTGTTAATTTTTACTTTGTGTTGCCATTGTTTTTTGCTTCTTTGTTTGGGGCTTTTGGGAGGTTTTTTTTGTTGTTATTGTTAGTTTTGTTTTGTTTACATCAAGGAGATAACAAAGCACGCTTGGCAGTTTTGAGAAGGCATTCATTTAGAAAATTGATTTCTGTGCTTGAGACCAATTCTACTAGAGTAGAGCCTGTGAATGGTGAGTAATGATAGGTCGGGTCAGGTGCCAGAAGAGATGAGATGAAATTTATCAAGTGCGTCAGGAAGGGCTACTGAGGAACAGTCAACAAAGAAAGTACTAGCTAGTATCAATGTGAGTAGGGATATAGTGAGAATCATTTGAAAGGCAAAACTGCAAAATTCCAATATTATAAGTGAAGTGGGAGGGTATTCCACCTTCAGGGGTATCAGGCTGCCTTGTGTGAAAACTTCGAAGGAGGCAAGATTGCAGTAAGAATGAATAGGAGAATTAAAAGTAGTTTAAGTACAAAACCAAACTTGTCAAACAAGACAACCAGCTACATAGTTGCCGCTGAGAAAAGAAGTGGACTGGGGATCTTAGGCAAAGGGCGGGATACTCAAAAAAGTGCTTTTCAAATCTAGAGTAAGGCATGCTAATGCCATTTTCGAAAGAGCCCAGTTTCAATCATGAGGTCCTTCTGGGTCTCTTCTCATCCATTAGCTCACTAGCTGAGTAACCAGGTTTACATAGATAAACAGACTAGCACAATTAATCCCCTGAACCATGGCTGCAAGTATTTTCAGAGTTTCTTCAGAGTATGCATAGTGATGTGAAAGCCAGAAAGACTAGAAGTTCTATTTCATAGCTCACTAAAATATTCACTGCTGTTCAATTCTCTTCTTCATTCATCTATCATACACCAGTCACCCACTGGGAGCCAGTCCCTGGGCTGGATGCTAAAGCTAGAGAAGGTAGTCTAGCAGAGTCTACTGGAACCTCAGGGTTATTCCCAGATGAACTAAGAAGACAACCAGGAACACAGGCTATCTTAAAAGTCATTGTCTTCATATTCTATTCTGTTTCCAGCAACTTATCAGCAATTATTCCCTCTCTCCTTAAAATAATAAGTTCTCTTCACCTCATTCCCCTGTCCCTTCCTTGCCCACTGTTTCCTCTGTTCTTTGAAGAAGTGTCCACCTCTTCCCAACAATGAAACTTCAGTTGTGAGGTCAGTATTTCACTGGAGCATATTTTTCTATCTATCATTTCTTCCCCAGTGTGATGGCTTTTGATACATCTGAATGCCAGCGACTTGAAAACCCCTCACAGCAGCCAACCTCTTCTATGAACTTCAGGTTGACCCCCTAACATAAGCATTTTGATGTGGAATAGGTGCGTCGGGATTAATATGTCCAGAATTGAAGCCTTGATCATCCCCTCCAAACACTATCCTCTCATACTCATCTGCATCTCAGAAAAGGCAAAGCCATACTTCTAGTGACTTGGGTCCAAACCCTTTGTGTTTTCGCCATTCCTTTCACATTTGTCCCACTACACATTCAAAGCATGTAGGCTCTACACTCAAAACATCACCAGTTCAATATCTCTGTCACAACTAAATTATCCAAGCTACCTGCTTTTCTCAGTGCTTGGCATTGTAGATAATGAATGATCTTTGGATGGATTGTTGATGAATTGTCTCTTTACTCTATTGGTGAAATTATTAAGGCCACTCCACGTAGTTAAAAGGAGATTTATTTAATGGCGTAACTTACAAATTAAGGAATAGGTAGGTCGCAGAGTCTGGGGAAGGTGTATCACAGTCCAGCGGTGTTCTCTGGAGCTCTGCTCGGTCCACCTCTCCAGTCCAGGGTCCCGCAACAGAGAGAGCGCCCGCCGATCCAGCTCTCAGATCCCCAGGCGCCTCCCTTGGCCCCACCTTGTAGGCGTGACAGTTGCCGAAGTCTCAATGGGGGTTGGAACTTCCAGATCAAAGCTGGAATGGCTACCCACTACATCTCCCCCTTTTTGTCTAAATAAGAAAGTTCTAACCTAATACAAGACTATATACAAAGGAATGGTTATCAAATATTGTCCAGGAATAATGAGGGATAATGACCTAGATAAGATGGAAGTACAACCAATGCAAACAATATCAAGCAAGAAACACATACTAAAGTCCAGAGAAGTATAGAGCATAGGTAAATGGCATGTTACAAAGATCATTCCAAAAGGTGTCCTATCCTAAAGAACCTGAATCTAATACTTAATATGTTCTATCTACTAAGTTGTAACTATAACTGCTAGTCTTCAATCCCATCAAAGACCTGAGAAGGAATATAATGGTACCTGAGAAATGGTAGATGGATGCAAGCAACTTTTGGGAATCTTGCTAGAGTAGACGGAGACAGCTGGCAGCCTGGACAGTCACCTAATGTTTCTCAGCATTGTTGGTGCATTCAAATTGGCTCCAGGCCCAGCAGGAAGTATAGGCGGGACTAACAGAGAGGAAAATTGAGAGAACAGGAAGCTGGGAGGGGAGACACTGCCAGCCCCCATCAGGACAAGGAAGATGTAAAGTACCCGTAAGCCACAAGCCACGTGGCAAGGTAT